CACCCTCTGCGCGGCAGTCCCCGAGGAATTGGCGAGCATCATTCGGAAGTATCCCGAAATTTTCGCGGATGACCTACCGGATGGCTTGCCCCCCCAAAGACCTGAAGATCATCGGATCCAGCTGGAACCAGGAGCGCAACCTACTGTTCGGACACAGTGGCGGCTCAGCCAACCAGAGCTCGCCGAGTTGCGGGCCCAGCTGGATTATCTGCTAGCCAAGGGCTTCATCCGGCCAAGCACGTCGCCGTATGCAGCGCCGATACTGTTCACGCCGAAGAAGGACGGGGGCCTACGCATGTGCATTGATTACCGGGCACTGAATCGGGTCACGATAAAGTCGCGTTACCCGATCCCGCGAACCGACGATCTGCTGGATCAACTTCGCGGAGCTCGGTATTTTTCGAAAATCGACCTGCGAGGAGGCTACCACCAAATTCGCGTGTTCGCCGACGACTGCCCGAAGACCGCTTTTCGCACCCGCTACGGCAGTTACGAGTTCACAGTGATGCCGTTCGGTCTGACAAACGCGCCCTCGACGTTCCAGCTCACCATGAACGGGATTTTTCGGGACATGCTGGACAAGAAAGTCATCGTGTATCTGGACGACATCCTGGTGTACAGCGCAACAAAAGAAGATCATCTGCGGGATTTAGAGGAGGTGTTCCGGCGTTTACAGGGGCATCGGCTGATTACGAAGGGGTCTAAGTGCGAGTTCCTAAAGCCGGAATTAGATTTTTTAGGGCACGTGGTTTCCGGCAAGGGGATTAAAATTGACCCACGTAAGGTGGACGCCATAGCTAAGTGGAAGCCGCCTACTAATATCCCTGAGTTGCAAAGTTTTTTGGGGTTTGTTAACTACGTTCGTCGTTTTGTACCTAATATGGCAGGGATAACCAAGCCGCTGACCGACCTGCTGCATCACGACAACGATTTTCGGTGGGGGGAGAGGGAGCAGTCCGCCTTCGACGCCCTCAAAAACATTTTGAAGTCACCCCCGGTACTCCGCCTCGCCGACCCATCTCGACCGTTCGAAGTCGTCACGGACGCCAGCGATTTCGCCGTCGGCGCCGTCCTGCTACAGGAATTCGGCCAAGGGCTGCAACCCATCGCCTACGAGTCACGCAAGATGCAGCCACCCGAGCGCAACTACCCAGTCCACGACAAGGAGATGCTGGCCATCGTCCATGCATTCCGCGTCTGGCGCTGCTACCTCACGGGAGCCGACGTGACCATTCGGACCGACCACAAATCACTACAGTACATGCGCACGCAACCGACAAATCCGCGACAAATCCGGTGGTTGGACTTCCTCGAGTCCAATTTTCGGTACACCATCACGTACAAAAAGGGCGCCAACAACATCGCCGACGCCCTCACCCGGCCATCCATGCAGAATGCAGCGGTACTAATCGCCCACACCAACCCGATGCTGACGGGACTATTCACCCACGGCTACAAGATCGACAGGTTTTTTCGGAACCCGCAACAACAGGCTGCTACACCGCACGGCAAGTATTACCAAAAAGCCGGTACGAACCGGATTTGGGTACCAGCATACCAGCCTTTACGGGAGCTGCTGACGCAGGAGGTTCACGACTCCAACCTTTCCGGGCATTTCGGCACCGACAAAACACTGAAGCTGCTGCAGCGGAATTATTACTGGCCGGAAATGTTCACCGACGTGCAGCGCTACGTGTCAACCTGCCCGACCTGCCAAGCAATGAAGTCGTCGCGACAAAGGCCAGCCGGACTGCTGCAACCCCTCGAGCCACCCGAACGACCGTGGCAACAAGTGACGATGGATTTCGTCACGGGGCTACCAGCTGGCGCGAGTGGCAACGACTCGGTGCTGGTCGTCGTCGATCGCCTAACGAAAATGGCGCATTTCGCCCCATGCCGAACGACGATCACAGCCGAAGATACAGCCAAACTGTTCATCTCCACCGTCGTACGCCTACACGGGTTACCTTCGGCGATCATCAGCGATCGAGACCCGAAATTTACGTCGAAGTTCTGGCAGGAGACGTGGGCACAGTACGGTACCCGCCTGCAGTTTTCGTCGTCATACCACCCGCAAACCGACGGACAGACGGAACGGACAAATCAGACCATGGAGCAACTGATTCGCACCAACTGCCCAGATATCCGCAAGTGGGAGGATTCGCTTCCAATGCTGGAATTCGCGTACAACAACGCCCCTTCGGCCACGACTCGACAATCGCCTTTCTTCCTAAATTACGGGATAGACCCCGTGGTACCCTCTTCAACGACTATAGACAACCCGGTACCACGCTCGCAGCAGTTTGTCACGGAGCTGCAGACCGCCCGCACGAAAGCAGCTGATTTTATTCGACGGGCTAATACCACAGCCAGCCGCCAGGCGGACAAGCATCGACGGAATTTACCCTTCCGCGCAGGGCAGGTTGTACTCTTGGACACCCAGAATCTTCGTCTGCCGCAGCCCGCAAAATTACGGCCCCGATACGTGGGACCATTTCGGATCATCCAGATGGTGACACCTGTCACCGCGAAGCTGCTGCTACCCGACGACTGGAAAATTCATGACGCGTTCCACGTCAGCCTACTGCGTCATTACGAACAGCCGCAGTCGCCAGCTGTTGCTCGGCCAACCATCGCGCCGACCACCCGTCCAGTAGCAGAACCCACGCTGGAACCTTGGAAGATTCTCAACCATCGCGTGGACGTCACCGCCACCGGCCGCTCGGTGAAATTCCTGCTTCGCTGGAAAGAACGCACGAGCGAGGACGACACGTATGTCACCGCAGACTCGCTCCTGGGACATCCGGTCATGGATGCTTACCTGGCCCGCCGAGGTGTCTCGGATATTCACCACCTTTCTTAAGGGGGGGGGTAGTGTAAGGAATTTTTCGGATTCCTTACTGGGTCACTCCGTACGCGTACAACCCCGACTTTCGGAAAACCAGGCTCGGCCCGCCGACCTCGCCTTCCGAGCCACCACCGCGTCGCCTTCGGGTTTTCCAACCCCGAACCTGCACCCAACCATCTCGCGACCCCGCGACCTCGGCCTAGCTAGCCTTGCTATATTGTGCCTAGGCCTCGTTGTTCTTTGAGACGTTGTAATCACTTCCGCGTTATTGAATTCTGCGCACTCTTTTCATTCACGACTCATAACAACAACCACCAAGGTTTCGTCTGGCGACCACACGATCGTGTCGGCACAAGCAAGCGGCTGGCTGGGGCAGATCGCTCGCGGGTTGCGCAGTCTTCCGCCAGGGGTGACGGCCTCGAAAGCTCTGCGAACCATCCTTTGTCTCGCTCACAGTCGCAGAACGGCTCTCTCTGACCGACAGTCCCGCCCGCCTCGTCGCGCAGCGCCAGAGCCTGCTTGGCGGTCAGAAAGTGTTACTGTGCGAAGGGAACTGCGACAGACAGACGGAGATTTTGGTGGGGTTCATTTCTAACGCGACTAGCGACTCGGTCTAGGGAAAGTATGTGCTGGCTACTATCGTTTTAGGATTCTCTCAAATTTAGTCACAAGGTTTACTCAATCAGTGCGACTCATTGCCATTTCGTTCACGCGACCTCCCACATTATGTTCAAAGTTGGTACTGCAGGAAAAAGTTTTTGACACGTGTCCCAAAAAAATTAAACCCCTAGGGAAGCTGGATGCATTTTCGGGAGGGATCAACCCTAAACACGGGAACCCACCTGGTGTTTAGGGTTGATGCCTCCCGAGTCGCATCCCTTTCCGATTGGGTTTTAGTTTTTGTCAGCGTAAAAAATTGACACGTGTCGAAACTTTCGAGTGGCAGTATGAGTCGTGAACATAATCTGGTATGTGTTTTGAACGGTTTTTCCGAAAGCAGTAGTGTTCGAGTAAACCCAGTATGAAATGTGAACGGTTTTCAATAACCAGGTAGCCAGCACATACTTTCCCCTCGGTCTAGCTGTCGGTCCTTGGTGCCCCGAGTCGCACATCAAGACGTGTGGGGCAATCAGCGAATTGTGTTGGACTGGCTGTGGTACTTGAGTGGGCAAGGCGCGTTATGCAGCAAATTCTGTCCCATCTCCCTCCGCCACCTCCCCTGGTTTTCCCTTCTAGACCTCCTCAACACTCTGCACCGTTTTGAAACTTCTTCAACCCTCTCTTATAATGTAAACAGCGACGCGCAACTGAAATCAGGTTGCGCAAGTTGCACAGCTTGCGCGGACCGCAAGGAGAAGCGACTGGGCGGACCGATAATTCGCGCGAGCTTATTCCGTCCGTCCTACTGCTAAATTACTTGCCGAGTTCTCGTCTCTCCCTACTGCACAAAGCACAGAAATGTCATACCTGCTGCGACGAGAGAGCAGACAAATATCCGATCATCCGACAAAAATCAAGGTAATTTGCCTCCGCCGCGACTCTCGAACCGCAATCCCACACGCTTCGGACTGCGTCAATTGCTAGGAAGTCAATCCAACACCCGTCGCTCGCAATCCACTAGTTTGTACGGCACGCTGCTGATCCAGGGAGTAAGGTATCGAGTTTTGAGACATCTCATACTCACAACGGCACTGCACGTTCTGATAATCCGTCCGTGCAGGTATACGGAAGAAAAAGGCACCACGTTTCAAGCTGCGCCATAGCTTGATACTCCGTCGGTTAAAGTAAGTAGCCATCGGTTCCATTTTTTCAATCATTCACTGAGGGACAGCACGAAGAGACACCAGCCTACGGTCATCTCGCAGAAGCAGGAGTTGCTGTTAGCTCTACAGCGGCAGCTTGAGCTAGGAGCAGTCAACCGATAATTGCAGCAAAGGTTTCCCCATCTGGGAGCCATACAACTTCAGTACCGCGACCGTGACCAGCCTTCTCGCGTGTTTCGTAACAGCTTTCGCAACGATCGCTCTTCGTTTTCACCGAAGATAAACTACTGTTCCTCTTCTTCCCAGCACGCTTCTTGTCCTTCATTCTCCCAGATTCCTTAGACGCCTCACAAACCATATCGTAACTTCCTCGCGTTCAGCAAGAGAGAATGAAGCCGTCAGGAGGAGCCGCGTCGCTGAGCAAGAGCCACTCGCTCTCCTCACACGATGCGTCCGAGAAGTTTCAACAACCCCCGCAAAATTCCTCCCGTGCCGTCCTCCATCCCTCGAGAGTGAAGCAGTCCGGAGGAGCCGCGTCGCTCAGCAAAAGCCATTCCATCTCCTCGTTCATCGTGCTAGATGCTCCCTCCCTTCACAATAGTCACAGTAAATACAAGCACGATCGCGGCCCGTCGTGGTCTCTCCTCGTTCTTGCCTGCGCGCTCACCGCGATCGTGTCCAGTCTCGCGGGGTCCTACACTTCGTACGCGCTAACGAGGAATTCGTTACAGTTGACGGATATTTCCGTTCCTGCTTACTCGTCTAACTCCTTCGACCCCACCGCTGGAGAGTCCACTGTCACTCCCCCTGCCGTCACGACCGCCGTCAAAACCGCCGGGGAAGCCGCCGTTGAATCCGCCATCACCCATTCCAGCGAGGCCAGAAGAAATCAAAGGGCAGAAGACGACGCGGTGCCGCTGTACTCGCCAAAAGCGTCCCTGTTATCGCGCTACGCGGACCTCATCGGTCCGAGCAGTCGCGGTCGCGGCGCCGGCGCTGGGAGCGGAAGTCGCGGCGGGAATCACGAGGCTGACTGGATCCGGCGTTTGGTTGAGTCAGCAAAAGTCAACGGCAGTTTTCCCGGTCAGCACAGACCGAGCGCGGTGCCACTCGCAGCCGTGAATGACGGGCAGAAGCGGAACGAGTCAATGGTTGTTCTTGTAACGGGGGCTGCCGGATTCATCGGGTCGCACCTCGCGCTTGCTCTTAAAAAGGAGGGTCACGGGGTGGTGGGTCTGGACAATTTTAATGACTACTATGATACGACCCTGAAGGAGGCGCGCGCGGCGCGGCTCTGGTCTGCAGGGATTGAGATTATCCGAGGTGACTTAAATAACGGCACGCTTCTGGACGCGCTGTTCGCTACAGTCACATTCACCCACGTGGCGCATATGGCGGCACAAGCGGGAGTTCGGTACGCTTTGGAGAATCCGAAATCCTACGTGGACAGCAACGTCGCAGGGTTCGTGAATCTGCTGGAGAGGTGTCGCAGGGTTCCTGTGCGACAGCCTGCGATCGTCTGGGCGTCGTCCAGCAGCGTGTACGGGGTGAACCGCGAGGTTCCTTTTTCGGAGTCGCACAGGACTGAGCGACCGGCGAGCCTGTACGCTGCGACGAAGCTGGCTGGCGAAGCGATCGCACACTCGTATAATCACATCCACGGATTGTCACTAACAGCGTTGAGATTCTTCACGGTATACGGGCCATGGGGACGACCCGATATGGCGTATTTCTTTTTTACGAAGAATATATTGGAAAAGAAGGCGATTGAAGTGTACATGGGAGCCAATGGGGTGAGTCTTCCTTCGAATGCTTTGCCCCCTTTGACACACTTCTGTGCATAGTCTTTTTCCGATGCTTCTCTACTTTTCCCACTTATCTCGTCTCATCTTTTCCATCCAGGATTTCCACATTCCCTCCTACTTCCCCTTTCCCGCCCACCAATCCCCTTCCCCTTCCTTTCCCCCCAGCCTCTTCATCCACCTACTCTATCCACCCTCTCCCCACCTATGTGTATGCTTCTGAGGTGCTTCTAGAGCCTCCATCCCCCATCATCCTTCAATGTCCACAATCCCTCCCCTCCCCTCGCCCCGCTCCTCCCCCCACCTCTCAACCCCATCTCCCCATCCCCCACTCTTCTTACCGCCTCGTTGTCTGTTCCACCCATAGCCCCCTGCCACCCATACCCTCCCCTTCCCTTTCCCCATTCTCTTGCCTATTCTCTCTCCCTCATCTTGCATTCTCGTTCTCATATTCCTCTGATTTCTCAATATGTTTCTCCCTCCTCTTCTTTTCGTTCTCAACTACTCTCCATGTGCAGACCCTTGTTTCTAGGGACTTCACCTATATAGATGACGTCATCAAAGGCTGTGTCAGCGCCCTCAAAACAGCTACACCCAGCACGGGCGTCCAAGGCAAGAAGACAGGTCCGGCGCAGCTTCGGGTGTTGAACCTTGGGAATACGCAGCCGGTTTCCGTGCCTCAGCTAGTTGACTATCTACAGTTACATCTGAAGGCGAAGGCGTTGAAGCGGACAGTGCAGCTGCCTCACAATGGGGATGTGCCTTTCACGCATGCAAATGTGTCACGAGCCGAGCATGAGCTAGGGTATCACCCTACAGTAAGACTCAAGGATGGTCTACAAAAATTTGTAGAATGGTACTTGAGATTTTATGGGAGAGGTGGTAAGAAGCAGGTGGAAGGGGAGAAGTTGCAAGGAAGAGGTGGGGCAGGGTCAAAAGGGAAAGGGCAGTTTGGCTTAGATAAAGCATCATTATAGTTTATTGTGACAACTCTGAGTACTAACATATCTGATTTACTTGATTATGTTTTGTGCAACGTGCTTGTTCAATATGGGGCTCCTATTATCAAGTGCGAGGCTGCCTGTCGTTATCCCGTGTGGCCCTGTAAGGAGGTAAACAGAGTCAACCAATCATGCTTTGTGAAAGCCGATGTGGATTTTGTAGGACTTTCCGTGTCACGAGGGTGGAAACCAATCAGGTTATCTTGATCGTGCCGTGCTGGCCAATACGGACACCCTGGACGGTTACGAGGTAGTACTCGAACCTTCGCAAGTGTTACCAGCAAGTAAGCGACGTCGCAACCGAAGCTCCCAACGATGTCCTTGAGACTGCATTTTCCGCTCCCTTTCCCGACTCTCATTCCCTAGGAAGTCAGGGGAACCAGCAAGCAACCGTGCGCTTCCCAAATTTCTTCTTTGTTACTACTGAACGTTTCTTGTTCGCGCGTTATTCTTGTTTCCAACACATAGCGCTTAGTGGCTTCAGAGACCTTCCTTGGGAATTCCGCGACTTCAACAAGTCTGAAACTCTTTCGCGAAACACCTCCATTGTCGCTGCTTCGCGCAGTTTCGCAAAGCGTCGCCTGCTTCTACATCTAGTAACTTGCTCGCATGCCAGTAGGGCCATTTTCAGAACTGCGAGGTGTTTGGATGTTTTGCGCTAGCGCGAAGAATACTTTCTAGCTAGAATTGCTCTAATTTGCGCTTAACTGCGGAACCGCTTCTGAAACTGCTACTGCTACTGCTACTGCTTTAGAGTAACGCACGATTTTACCAAACCCAGGCGATTTCAAAACGGGACAGTCATGAGTGCGACCTTATCCTCGTTACTGTCAGACCCCACCACAGTCACACCCGCGACTGGTGGTAGTACCGCCACCGCACCCGGCGTTCCCGCGATTCTCTCCGCCGTTCACTGCCCCACGCCGCCCGACCTAACCCTAATCGAGCAACTCGTCGGGGGACCGCTCTGTGGCCCGTATTGTCAGATATTCCCGAGACAGGGGTACTCGGGGTGGGGTTATGTGGGGGAGAGTATTCCAGGGGAGGGTTACCCGGAAGAGGGCGGATTGGCGGGTGCGGTCGAGCGTGCGCGGAGGGCTGGAACAGGCGGAGCAGGGGGAAGGGGAATGGGGAGCGGACGGGGAGGCGGAATGGAAAGCGGAAGCGGAAGGTGGAGGGGATGGGGAGCGGAAGGGGCGGGGGAAATGGAAGAGGGCGCGGGGGTTCTTATGGCGCCGATTCAGTCCCCCAAGGTTGCGCCAAGCGTAGCGGAGATAGGGGCGTGGGGAAGGCGGGCGCAGGGGGAGACGTGCGGAATGTAGGGTCTGGGGAGAAAGGGGAACTGGGAAGGCGAGGGGAGGGGGAAAGGAGGGAAGGGGTTGGAAAAAGGGGAAGGAGTGGGGACGCGGCTAAGGTTGCGGCAAGCGTGGCGGAGATGTGCGGGGGATAAAGGGAGGGAAGAAGGTGGGAGGCGGGGAGGGGCGGGATAAAGAGTGGGAAACAAGGCTTTGCGAGGGGTCAGGGGTGATGGGGGGTTCTTATGTCGCCGTTGCCAGGGGGCTGTAAGTATTGGCAAGGCGGGGACAGGGCAGTGGGAACAGGCGCTGTAGTAAGGCTTATGGTGTGTTGTGCGGCGGACAGGGGCATGGTGGCGCACAGGGCAATGGAGGCGCACAGCTAGTTACACCACGGTGGGGTGTAAATTCGTTGGGGAAAGGGCAATCAGGGAGGAGACCTTTTTTGGCGCCGCATGCAGGAGGAGGGGTTTTTGCAGCGGGTGAGAGAGGAGGCACGCAGATGCGTGCCTTGTGCTGCTCTTGAGGCTTTAGAGGCACTTGAGGCAATGGGGGTGATGAGGGAGGAGTGGGGCAGGAGGAGTGGAGCCGGAAAAGGAGGTCTGGCAGCGGGTGAGAGAGGAGGCGCGCATGCTGCGTGCCTTGTGCTGCTCTTGAGGTGGGCTGCGTGCTCTTGAGACCATTGAGGCTTGTTGCTAGGTCAGTGGTCCGTCCACTCCCTCACTCTCTTTTTTGTTCATAAGAGGTTACCAAGGAGGAGGCGGTGGGGGAGGAGGGAGGAGTGGAGGGGAGGAAGGGGTTTGGTGGCGGCGGCAGGGAGAGGAGGCACGCGTTCTGCGTGCTGTTGAGACCACTGAGGCTTGTTGCTAGGTCAGTGGTTCATCGACACCCTCACGTGTAAATAGAGTATTTTGGAGACGTCTCAAAAATACTCTTTGTACAGTGGTTCATCCACACCCTCACTCTCTTTTTTGTTCATAAAAGGTTACCAAGGAGGAGGCGGTGGGGGAGGAGGGAAGAGTGGCGGGGAGGAAGGGGTTTGGTGGTGGCAGGGAGATGAGGCGCGCGTGCTGCGTGCTCTTGAGACCATTGAGGCTTGTTGCTAGGTCAGTGGTGTCTACTCCCTCACTCTTTTTTTGCTTAAAACCCTCCTGAGGTTAGGTCGGTGTGTTTTGCGCCCTCCTTACTCGTGGTGTTGCTATTTCGGTCTGAATTCTACTTCAAAATCTTTTTTTCATTTGGTTCCGCTTGCTTTTATTAGTCACTCTGTTCCTCCTCGTTTCTTGAAACGTCGGGAGGAGTGCTGACCTTCTCCTCCGGTCTATAATGAAACGGCTTTATAACGAGTGAGCAATAGGTTTTTTTCCAAACAAGTATAATAAGAGCACTGGACAGGTCAAATGGAAAGTGAAAGGTATGGTAGCACAAGCACAGGCATGGAAAGTCCGGCAGGGGGGATGAATAGAGCGCCGCTTGTCTGTTGCAATCTCTTGGAAGGTAAACAGTCTCGTACACAGCTATGCACAGATGCACAGCTAGGGGAGGCCGCTGGGGAAAGTTGTGGGAGGGAGGCTGTACATGCTGAGCAAGGTGGTTCTCTGGTGGTTCTCTGAGATGAGCCACGGGTTTTGAGTGTCTCGGAAGTTGTCTTTGAGAGATGAGCGATGATTGCCTGGTCACATGGGAGCTGTCGGTTCAGGAAGCTAGTCCTGGAAGTTGCAAGGGCGGGGTTAAGAGCGGTACGGACAGGTGCAAGAGAGGTGATCAAAGAGTGGGTGATTTCCGGAGGAAGCAAGGTGTAATGGAGGGAGAGACGATAAATTTTGCATGACGAGTAGTGTATCATGTCGTACGTGAGTTTGTAAATATATATTATACTGTATATTAAACATGCTCTCTTATTATACCTTGAGTGTGATGTTCTTGGCGAGCCAGTCAAGGCCCTCATAGAGCCCTTCCCCTGACGTGGCACAGGCGCTCTGAATGTACCTGGTTAGGGTGAAGGGTGAGGGTGAAGGGGAAGGGGCAGGAGTGAGGAGCAAAGGGGCAGAGGGGGGGAGTATAAATGGAGAGTGAGTGACAGAAGGGTCATCTCTTGGCGACCCAGTCAACCCCCTCGTAGAGCCCTTCCCCTGACATGGCACAGGCGCTCTGAATGTACCTGGTGGGGGGTGGGGGGGAAAAGAGAGGATATAGGGGAGGGGACTGTAGATGTGGGGAGGAGGGGTGAAGGTGTGCAATAAGGTGGTGATATTCCCCTGATGCGGCACAGGTGCTCTAAATGTACCTGGTGGGGGGTGGACGGACGGATGTGTGGTGGATGTGTGGAGGATATGGGGAAGTTTTGTGTTGCGAGGAAATGCATGTTGCAAGGAAGTTTGTGCTTTGCCTGATCTCGGCTCACCAGTTTTTGCTTCTGAGCTGAGAGTGTGCAGCGATATAGAGTCGGTAATTTCGGCTGCGCTCATCGCCTTGAGAAGACACACGCATGTGAGTGTTGTGTGGTGTGGTGTATGCGTATGTGTATGTGGGGGGTATCAGCTCACCAGTTTCTGCTCCTGAGAGTGTGAGTGTGCAGAGACAGACTGTCGGTGATCTCAGCTGCGCTCATCGCCTTGGGAAGATCCTGCTTGTTGGCAAACACGAGTAGCGCCGCGTCCCTCAGTGCATCCTGGCATAGGGGTCAGGTGAGAGGCAGGCAAGGAGGAAGGGAGTAGTGTGAAACCCTTTTCAGCTGCGCTCATCGCCTTGGGAAGGTCCTGCTTGTTGGCAAACACCAGCAGTGCCGCATCCCTTAGGGCGTCCTGTGAGTGGAGAGGAGAGACAAGGGAGTAGCAAGGAGAAAAGGGGTAGCACTCAACCCTTGGGAAGGTCCTGTTTGTTGTCAAACACGAGCAGCGCCGCGTCCCTCAGTGCGTCCTGTGAGTGTTTTTGGTGGTGGGGGAGAAATGGGAAGGGGAGAGGCAAGTGTGAAGAGGATTGCACCCAACCTGTGTGTGCTGCGCTCATCGCCTTGGGAAGGTCCTGCTTGTTGGCAAACACGAGCAGCGCCGCATCCCTCAGTGCATCCTGTGAGTGTGTTTAAGGTTGAAAGAGATAAGGGGAAAGGGACGGGAGAGACAAAGGGAAGGGGAGCAGCGATCAGTCCTGTTTGACTTGCACTGACTTGCATTGACTCTCACCTTGCTGAGCATGGCGTGCAGTTTGTCTCTCGCCTCCGCCACTCCCGGTCATTGCTGTACACCACAAAGGCGGGGCTTGACCCATATTGACTTTCCCTGACTCCCATTGACTCCCGTTGACTTAAGTAGACTCCCATTGACTCCCATTGACTCCCATTGAATCCCGTTGACTCTCACTCACCTCGCTGAGCATGGCATGCAGCTCATCTCTTGCTTCCGCCACTCGGTCCCGGTCGTTGCTATCCACCACAAAGATGAGTCCGTTGGTGTGCTGGAAGTAGTGCTTCCACAGAGGGCGAATCTGGGGGTGTGTGGGGAGAAGAGGGTTGGCTTGGGTTGACTTGGGCTGACTCAATCTCTATCGTTGCTGTCCACCACAACGATGAGTCTGTTTGTGTGCTGGAAGTAGTGCTTCCACAGGGGGCGGATCTGGGGGGGTGGGGGAAGAAGAGGGTTGACTTTGGTTGACTTGGGTTGACTTGCGGTGAAAGATGAGCCCGTTGGTGTGCTGGAAGTAGTGCTTCCACAAGGGGCGGATCTGAGGGTGTGGCGGGGGGAAGAGGGTTGACTCCGTTTGACTTGTGTTGAAAGATGTGTGCTGGAAATCATGCTTCCACAGGGGGCGAGTCTGGACAGGCGGGGAGAATATGGGGTTGAGTTGGGTCGACTTTGACTGACTATTGACCAGCGTTTTAAGATTATTGAGATGGCATGCTGGGTGTAGCAAGCAGACAGAGATTGAGGTTAGAAACGCGAGGTAGAGGGAGAGGGAGAGGAAGAGGAAGAGGGCGCACTGGAACTCACCCTGTCCTGACCTCCCACGTCCCATACAGTGAAGCTAATGTTCTTATACTCCACTGTCTCCACGTTGAAGCCTGCGATACAGTCACAATGGGTGAAAAGAAAGGGATAATGAGTTGCAGTTGCATAATGATAGTAAGCAATGTGCTGATTAGTATTGTCCGAAGAGGCTGCCTGTTGCGATACTACAAAATACTCACCGATGGTTGGAATGGTGGTGACGTTTTCGCCCAGCTTGAGCTTGTAGAGAATGGTCGTCTTGCCCGCCGCGTCCAGCCCCACCATCAGAATGCGCATGTCCCTCTTGTTTAGAAGAGCTGCGAAGGCTCTTGCGAGTAGGTTACCCATGATGCAGGCAGTAATCTACTTGAAGGTAGAAGGACCCTTGCTGAAAGGACCCTTAAAAGTGTCGGAGGATAAAAAAACAAGCACAGTGAGGCAGGTGGAATCGGTCTGCAGTTGAAGATCAGAGGCTGTAGCGGATATTAGCTCAAAAGTTGGGCGAGTGCATCGAAGCTAGATCAAGCAAAGTTGAATGCTGTGGTGAGAGTGAGTTGGCCGCCTGAGCCTTTATCTTTCAAAAACCTATCTGAACACGGCAACACGCTATTCTTTCTGGTACAGTACAGTAGGGGCGGAACGAACCCCGGCGGGGATCGCCGGAAGGGGAACCAGAAAACGTCGCGCGCTGCAGCGCTGTAGCGTTGCTTGCGCCGACTTGGCGCAGATAAGGTGATGCGCGGCGGTCCTACCACCCGACCGAGTCACGTGGTGGTGTGGAAAGCACGCAAAAACCCAGAGAGGGGAGCGGGTGTGCGTGTGACCTCCGGAACAATTTCGATACCGTCGTGGCTGGGATTCGGAAAATGTGAAATGCGAAATGTGCATCTCGGATTGGTTCGATGCGCGCATTGAAAACGCGACTCGGTGAAGAAAGCAGGAGGAAGCTTCGGAAAAGGAAAAGGCGAGTGGTGAGAAGTGGACGAAAAGGTTACCACATGGGTGAGGAGCAGATGCGCATCCGAGTTTCGTAATTGGCTGAATGACGTGGGTGTGAAGGCGTGCGATTGCTCTAATTTGCCGTGAATATTGTTCGCAAGCGCTTTTTCATCGGGTGTCGTTGCATGCCTCCCAGGTATCCAGATTCGCCAGGCCTGTCGTGCGATGAAATGTAACCAATCGGAGAGACTGCGTTCGACTTCGCCGGTCTTGAACATTTCTCCAGCTCCGCCAGCTTGGAAGAAAGGACCTGTTTAGCCCGCGGGAATGCGCCAAATTGCGCTCTATCTCCTTACTTCCCCTCATTCCCCATCCGTCAAAACCCTAGATAGCCGCCATAAGCGGACATGGCTGGCGGAAATTTAATCCCTCCCGACTATAACGCACTCCATTCGTCCAGGTGCGTGGTGCGCCCCGCTGGGCGGCAATGCGGGTTGCGCGCATCCACCGTCACGTGCGACCCAATGTATGGCCCCAATTGGAGCCGACCTTTCGTCGTCACGTCGCCACGTGGCCACGTGGGCAACCGGCAAAGACTCGGAGTCTGAAAGGTCGCGAGAGTCTCTATTGATACGTCACTCCGCCAATCAGCGTTAGGCAATGACGAGCACTCGCGATCCATCCGCGATTCATTCCATTCGCTGTCCATCCCGCCGGTAGGTACGGAGCTCTCTCTTACTCGTTTGGACGGAAATGCCTTCGATATTAATCTGTAGAGAGTGTTGCTTCGGGGTTCCTACAGTATTAGCTGTAACGAAACGTAAAGTCAGCGAAGCGCACGGAAGGTTCCGCGAAGCCCGTTCCGCGACACGTGCGGAATGCTGAAAGGTGCTTGCGCTTTCCCGTCTCCGCCCCGCACCGCTTCCGCATTTCAGCGCCCCCCCTACCCCCTACCGATACTCCTCTCCTCTCCGTCCCTTCCCCTCCCTCTCCTCACCTTGCCTCACCATCCCACCGGCCATTTATCCCCGCCACACCCACCAACCCCCTCATCTCTTCCGCTCTAAAACGGCGTGAGCGGAACAAGGCCGCTAGAGCGACGATCATGGCGGCGGTTCTCTGCGCCCCGCGCGCAAGGCTTTCCACGCGCAAGGCCTTCCCCGCGGAAGAATTCCGCGCAGAAGAAGATTCGAGGGGATTCTTACTGGCGGCGGAACCTTGAGCTCCCCCAGTTGCCTCTGGCGGAATCCCGAGTTCCGCCAATTGCCTCAACGGTGTGATCCCAATGGCAGGACTACCCCCCCTGCTGCTACTGCTGCTGCTGTTACACATCCCACCACTACTTCTGCTACTCCCCCTCCTGGTACTGCAACTACTTATATCACAGATATTAGTCTGCATATCATCGCACAACCTTTTGAGTCGACTCAAAGTTCAACTCTCTCTCTTCTACTCCTGCTTCTGGTGCTGCAACTACTTATATCACAGCTTTTAGTCTGCATATCATCTCATTCTCTCACCCCCTCACTCGTTCTCCAGTCTAAAAGACTCGTTACAAACTTCCCTCCTCATAAGTACAAGCATCTCAATAATTATGGGGTTAACGTTCACGAAGCTGTTTGCGCGGTGGGTGGGCAAGAGGGACATGCGCATCCTGATGGTGGGGCTGGACGCGGCGGGCAAGACCACCATTCTCTACAAGCTCAAGCTGGGCGAACTCGTTACTACCATCCCCACCATCGGTAAGTAGTTGCATGGGTTCACTATTCTGCAGGAGCCCCTTGCCTTGCAGCCGCAAGAAGGACATGCGCATTCTCATGGTGGGGCTGGACTCGTTACAACCATCCCCACCATTGGTTAGTATGGCTGGTATGGGCGTGCGTGGGCGGGAGGGCAAGCAGTGGGTGGGTGTGTGAATGGGCAAGCAGTAGGTGGGTGGGTGGGCGCGAGGGACATGCGATTCTCATGGTGGGGCTGGACGCTGCTGGGAAGACTACGATTCTCTACAAGCTCAAGCTGGGGGAACTCGTTACTACCATCCCCACCATTGGTAAGTAGCTTTAAGGTGGGTGGGTGGGCGCAAGGGACATGCGCATTCTGATGGTGGGGCTGGACGCGGCGGGCAAGACGACCATTCTCTACAAGCTCAAACTGGGCGAACTCGTTACTACCATCCCCACTTTTTGGTTAGTAGTGTCTGGTGGATGGGATGGGCGTGTGAGGCGTCTAATTATCCTTCATTTGTGGTTGCCTGATTATCCTTCATTTTTCCTTCTTTCTCCCTCTCTTTTCGCCTGCTGTGACTGTATCGCAGGCTTCAATGTGGAGACAGTGGAGTATAAGAACATCAGCTTCACTGTCTGGGACGTGGGGGGACAGGATAAGGTAACCAACAGGCTGACACTTGCTGACTTGTGTTGACTTGACTCCATTGACTTGTGTTGACTTGCATGGGTGGAAACAGTGGGGAGTATAAGAACATCAGCTTCACTGTCTGGGACGTGGGGGGTCAGGATAAGGTAACCAAATTGGCGTTAACTCTACCTCCCTCCCCGTACCCCTTCTCCCCCTCCATTTTCCCCTCTGTTTTCCTCTCTTTTCCCCCAGATTCGCCCCTTGTGGAGGCATTATTTCAACAACACCCAAGGGCTCATCTACGTGGTGGACAGCAACGGCTGCTCCTTTAATGATACAGGTCAACGCAAGTCAACGCCAGTCTTCCCCTCCCGCCCACACTCTCGTCCTTCCAGATTCGCCCCCTGTGGAGGCATTATTTCAACAACACACAAGGGCTCATCTATGTCGTCGATAGCAACGACAGGGAGAGAGTGATGGAGGCGAGGGATGAGCTGCACCGCATGCTCAACGAGGTGAGTCAACTCTGGTCAACGCTGGTCAACGCCACACCTCCCCTTCCCTCTTCTTCTCGGATCCGGTATCTGTGGCGGCACTACTTTCAAGGCATGCAGGGAATGATCTACGTGGTGGACAGCAACGACAGGGGGAGAGTGATGGAGGCGAGGGATGAGCTGCACCGCATGCTCAATGAGGTGAGTGAGTCAACGCAGGTCAACGCCAGTCAACGTGAGTCAACGGGGTCAATGGAGTCAAAGGGCTTCAGTGCTCTACGTGGTGGGCAGCAACGACAGGGGGAGAGTGATGGAGGCGAGGGATGAGCTGCACGGCATGCTCAATGAGGTGAGAGCAATGATGGCCAACGCTGGTCGATGCCAGTCAACACTGTTCAATGCCAGTCAATGCTGATCAACGAGCAGGACCTTCCCAATGCGTTGAACCCATTCTTTCTGTACTCTTTACCTTGACCTTACTCGTGTACTCTTCTCTTTCATTCCACCCGTCTTCAACAGGACGAGCTGCGTGATGCGGCGCTCCTCGTCTTTGCCAACAAGCAGGACCTCCCCAACGCGATGATTGCCTACATCCCTGGTGCCCTTCTTCTTTCATCTCCCCTTTCATCCCCTCCCTACAACAGGACGAGCTGCGTGATGCTACCCTCCTCGTCTTTGCCAACAAGCAGGACCTTCCCAAGGAGATGAACGCTCTCTTTCATTGTACTCTTGTTCTCTTTTCTTTCATGCACAGGACGAGCTACACGACGCCACCCTCCTCATATTTGCCAACAAGCAAGACCTCCCCAATGCGATGAACGCTGCAGAGATCACCGACAAGCTCGGCCTTCATGCACTGCGCAGCCGCACCTGGTATGCGCGTGTGTGTGTATGTGGCCCTGCCCTGTGTTCCTTCCTCTCCCCCACTCTTATGCACCAATCAACCGTCGCTGAGATCACCGACAAGCTTGGGCTGCACTCGCTGCGCCACCGCACCTGGTACGTGTGTGGTCCTTCATTTCTCTCTTACTGCTGGTGTGTGCGTGCCTCTTTCCGTCCTGTTATATGCCAACCGGCCTCCCCAACGCGATGAACGCTGCTGAGATCACCGACTTGCTCGGCCTTCATGCACTGCGCAACCGCACCTGGTACGTGTGTGGCCCTTCCTTTCACCACCCCACCCTCTTCCCATCATTCCTGTGCGCCAACCGGCCTGCCCAATGCAATGAACGCTGCTGAATTACTGACAAGCTTGGCCTGCACTCGCTGCGCCACCGCACCTGGTACGCATGCATGTGTGTGTGTGCACGTCTGCCCTTTGATGCATTTCTCTCCCAATTGTGCGCCAACCTAGCCTCTCTGCTTGCATTGCTGAGACCACCAACAAGCTTTGGCTGCACTCGCTGCGCCACCGCACCTGGTACGTGTGTGGCCCTTCATTTCTCTCTTGCTGCTAGTGTGTGTGTTGTGTGTGTGTGCCAACCGGCCTTCCCAACGCGATGAATGCTGCTGAGATCACCTACAAGCTTGGCCTGCACTCGCTGCGCCACCGCACCTGGTATGCTTATGTGCGCTCGTGCGTGTGTGGTGCGTGCGTGCGTGCGTGTGTCTCCGATCTGCTTTGCATGTGGTCAGTTGTGACTTTCCCTCCCTCTTAAACACCAACCCCTAAAAGCTCACCCTTCACCCCTCTCTCCCCGGACCTCATCCCAAACTCCCCCCCCCCCCCCCACCCCCCACCAGGTACATTCAGAGCACCTGTGCCACGTCAGGAGAAGGCCTGTACGAGGGACTTGACTGGCTCTCTAACAACATATCCGCTAAAGTGCGCAAGCCTCCCCTCCCCTCCTGGTGCATTCCCCACCCTCCTTTCGCCCCTGAATTTTTGCTAACCCTAAACCCTCAACTTCCGTTGACTTTTCTTGACTTTCTAAGCCTCCTACTGAGGTCTTGTCTGCTGTTCAGAGGAAATTCACCGGCTTGCTAGCAACATATCCATTAAAGCCCGAGTCCCAAATTGCGGGCCGCGCGGGTCAAGCTTTTAAAACTTGACGAACTAGTGTTTTCAAGGTTTGAAGAAAAGCGTGCCTGCAATTTGGGACTTTTGGGAACTGAACCAACCCCCAGGGCGAAATACGAGGGCGGGCTGGGTTTGGCGAAAAAAACGAAAAAAGCGAAATCGGAATCTTTCGCCAAAACCCTCACCACAAAAACCCCCTCGCGTCAACCTTTTAAAACTTGTGCAATTTGGGCTGCCGGCTTTAAAGTACAAAAGCTCCGCTTCCCTCCCTTCTCGCTCAGCACCACACTTTGACTCGTGTTGACTAACAAGGCCTGCTTGATTCACCCGTTTGCCTGCTCCCTGCCCTCCTGCCTCCTGCCTCCTGCCAGGATTAAAGGGTGCTTCCGGGTGGTTTGACTTCACAATATTCAAATACCGTACCGGTATCTGCTTGCAACACACATGCGTCGAGGATTGTGATTCTTCGCTGCAGGGTTGGTTAGGTTACGTTACGCGTTACGGAAGTTACGGCACACGTGGTATGGCTGATCCTGCCAAGGTTCTGCCAACTCTTGATTCTGCTTTCTGTGTGCGGTGCGGTGCGGTGCAGCGCGGTGCATGCATCTGCTGCTCTTGCTGTGCCATGTACCGTATTCAAAAAAATCAGCTTGACATCTATCAGTCTTGCAATAAGGGCGTATTCCTACAGCCTCCTATCAAGAAACCTCCTATCAAGATTGTACCTTTTGCCTGGTAAAAGTAGCGAGAGGTTTTGGGTTTAGGGGATTTTTCAGTGTGATCTTGATAAGAGGTTTTCTTGATACGGTAAGAGGATAGGAATACGCCCTAATTCCGTTGGTTGGCATCCTTGGCTAACAATTTCTTTTGTAACCTTCATGAATGAGAGGTCGGAGCAGGGATAATAATTTGACTAGAATAATCCACTCAGCAGTCGCAATCACCCCACCCCTGAGAGTAGGCCAGTCAAGTCCAGTATGCAATGAAAGCTTGGGATTGGACCTCTCAACTCAATTCAACACCAAACAGTTCACTTTTTGAGTCGACTCAAAAGTCGTCAGCACGCAATTACAGCTTGAGACCTCTCAACTCAGCATCAAAGAACTGTTTGCGTATGCATTGATTGGATTTACCGTATTCCGACTCCAAGGAAAAAATAAGCCCCCCAAACTAGGCATTATTTGGGCCCCTCAAGAATAGACCCTCAGCCTTCACAACACATTGAAGCCCCATCTCACGTCCCAAAAAGGCTCAAAAGAGATAGTCAATCAGTGCCCGCCAAGCGTGTAGAGAGCCAATCAGTGCACGCAAAGCGTGTAAAGAATGAAGGCATAGCGGAGCGCCACGTCAGCAAGGCGATCGAACCTGCAGCAAGGACAGAGAAAGCGCAGACAAGTTCTAGTGAATATTACTAATGACTATCTCTGAAGGTGATTCACTCCCTCCCCCTGTCACTCACCCCTCACTCACTCCCTCCCTCACTCACCGCCCTGTCTTGCTGAAATGTCCAGCATTCATCTCACACCGCAGCAGCACCACTGAATCACTGCTGGTATTGGTGTCTCTCACTCGCTCTCACCCCCTCATCCATTCACTCCTTCACAATCCCTCCCTCACCTCCCTGTCTTGCTGAAATGTCCAGCATTCATCTCACACCGCAGCAGCACCACTGAATCACTGCTGGTGTTGGCGTCTCTCAGCCTCGCCACCCACGTTCACTTCCTGCCCTTCGCACACACAATCCCTCATTCCCTCACCTCCCTGTCTTGCTGAAGTGTCCAGCGTCCATCTCACTCTGCAGCAGCACCTTCGAATCACTGCTCGTGTTGGTCACTGCTGGACCATGTACTCCCTTTCCCCCTCACTCCCTCTAATCACTCACCCAATTAATCACTTCCTCACTCACTCACTCCCTCACCTCCCTGTCTTGCTGAAGTGCCCAGCGTCCATCTCACACCGAAGCAACACCACCGAATCACTGCTCGTGTTGGCGTCTCTCAGCCGTGCCACCCATTTGGCTGGCTCCCAATAATTCACTCTCTGGTCTGCAAGTGGGGAAGGATGGTGCAAGAGGGAGGGAGGAGGGAGGAGGGAGGAGGGAGGAGGGAGGAGGGAGGAGGGAGGAGGGAGGAGGGAGGAGGGAGGAGGGAGGAGGGAGGAGGGAGGAGGGAGGAGGGAGGAGGGAGGAGGGAGGAGGGAGGAGGGAGGAGGGAGGAGGGAGGAGGGAGGAGGGAGGAGGGAGGAGGGAGGAGGGAGGAGGGAGGAGGGAGGAGGGAGGAGGGAGGAGGGAGGAGGGAGGAGGGAGGAGGGAGGAGGGAGGAGGGAGGAGGGAGGAGGGAGGAGGGAGGAGGGAGGAGGGAGGAGGGAGGAGGGAGGAGGGAGGAGGGAGGAGGGAGGAGGGAGGAGGGAGGAGGGAGGAGGGAGGAGGGAGGAGGGAGGAGGGAGGAGGGAGGAGGGAGGAGGGAGGAGGGAGGAGGGAGGAGGGAGGAGGGAGGAGGGAGGAGGGAGGAGGGAGGAGGGAGGAGGGAGGAGGGAGGAGGGAGGAGGGAGGAGGGAGGAGGGAGGAGGGAGGAGGGAGGAGGGAGGAGGGAGGAGGGAGGAGGGAGGAGGGAGGAGGGAGGAGGGAGGAGGGAGGAGGGAGGAGGGAGGAGGGAGGAGGGAGGAGGGAGGAGGGAGGAGGGAGGAGGGAGGAGGGGAGCAACGAAGGGAAGAGGTTAACCTGTGTAGCTTCACTAGTGTTGGCGTCTCTCAGCCTCGCCACCCACTTGGCCGGCTCCCAGTAGTTCACTCTCTGGTCTGGAATTGGTAGAAGAGAGGGAGGGAGGAAGGGAAGGAGAAAAGAAAGAGAAAGAAGGTAATATTTAACAAATGTATTTTTTTCCTACGTAGTTCCTTTTAATAGTAGAAGGAAAAGTAAGAGGGAAAATAAATTCGTGAAACATCAGCTTACCATGGAGCGAAGCAGTGGCAAGTATGTTGGGGTAAGCCTGGGGCTTCACCTGTGGAAGAGGGGCAGAGGGTAGCAGAGCAGAATACGAAGAGCAGAGGGGGAAAGGATAAGTTGTTGAGGAAACGCACAGGCGAGAAATTTATCAGCCGGGAAAGTAATGAATAATGTCAGGAAAACGCGATGGGAAAAGAAGAAAGAGTGACGCTGTGTGGGCGAGAGGATAAGATTGACGTTAGTCTATTGCGTACTAGACTAACAGATGCCTTGTGCTTTTTATGTGCTCTGATAAAGGTCTTTGAGCCGAACTGCACTTGCACGCGCACGGTCACAAGCAAAGAATGGGGTAGACACACACATTGCTTTCATGCTACCGTATGTAAGTGTGGTGTGGAAAAGAGGCTTACATTATCCACGGGAGAATATGACTTGATGTAGTGATAGTACTGCTCCTCCTGCGGGTTGCCCCACTCCTGCTTGCCACACACAACCTCACATGACAGCACAAGACCGCACAGGACCACACACAACCGTGCAGATCCGCACACAATACAAGCACACAAGGCATGTAGCAGACGTCAGGAGATTACAATAATGAACGGCGAAACCTTGACACAATTCACAAAACCACCCACCCACCCACCCACTCACTCACCCACCCACCCACCCACCCACCCACCCACCCACCCACCCAACGACCATCCCAGTGATAGTGAACCCACCTCCCACTCGGTGATAGTAAGATGCAAGGAAGCGTCCAGCATGGTGGAGAGAACATCAACGAACGGCACGCCAGCCACACCCTCCCGCCCACACCCTCCCGCCCACCTCCTTCTTAGTGATGCTGAACCCACCTCCCACTCGGTGATGGTGAGATGCAAGGAAGCGTCCAGCATGGTGGAGAGAACACCAACGAACGGCACGCCAGCCAGCCAGCCAGGTTATGAGGGAAGAAGGTGCCTACGCAGCAGCACACTGTACCACCCACCGCCCATTCAGTGATGGTGAACCCACCTCCCACTCGGTGATGGTGAGGTGTAGGGAAGCGTCCAGCATGGTGGAGAGCACATCAACGAACGACCAGGTTTGAATGTGTGACTAGGAGACTCACGGCCTATCCACCCCCCAGCCAGCCACCCACCCACCCACCTCCTCACATCCCATTCTGTGATGGTGAGATGCAGGGAAGCGTCCAGCATGGTGGAGAGCACATCAACGAACGGCACGCCAACCAGCCTTGCTGTGAGGCATGACGCACACACCTACCTACCCACCCAGCCACCACCCACCCACCTCCCATTCAGTGATAGTGAACCCACCTCCCACTCAGTGATAGTGAGGTGCAGGGAAGCGTCCAGCATGGTGGAGAAGAGAGCACATCAACGAACGGCAGGCAAGCCAGCCAGCTAGTCTGGTTATGGGGCATGCAGGACGGTACTATGAAGGCAACAACAGCCCAGGAAAACAGCCCACCCACCCACCCACCTCCCACTCGGTGATGGTGAGGTGCAGGGAAGCGTCCAGCATGGTGGAGAGGAGAGAACATCAACGAACGGCACGCCAGCCACAATGCACCCACCCACACTCCAACCCACCCACCCCCCCACCTCCTTCTTAGTGATAGTGAACCCACCTCCCACTCAGTGATGGTGAGGTGTAGAGAGGCATCCAGCATGGTGGAGAGCACATCAACGAACGGTACGCCAGCCACGGCCGATCGGAACAGATCCGGCCGTTCGTTCACGGCTGCCCCCACGGGTATGCCCCCTGATGACCTGCCTTCCAGGGCCAACCGGTCTGGCGTGGTGAGGCTGGGTACAGAAGGGCATAGAGAAGGGGAGATGAGAGGAGTAAGAAGGAAGGAAGATCCGGCCGTTCGTTCACGGCTGCCCCCACGGGTATGCCCCCTGCTGACCTTCCTTCTAGTGCCAACCGGTCTGGCGTGGTGAGGCTGGGTACAGAGAGGTAGCGAACGGGCAGGGATGGAGGCGTAGCATAGGAGAAAGGAAGATAAGACGAATACTTTAGAGAAGTTCAGCCGTTCGTTCACGGCTGCTCCCATGGGTATGCCCCCCGCTGACCTCCCTTCCAGGGCCAACCGGTCTGGAGTGGTGAGGCTGGGTACAGAGAGGTAGGGAGAGAAAGAGGGCAGCGTTTGGCTATGGCGAGCAGGAAAAGTTTGAGTAGCTGCAAGTCAGAAACATCCTTAAAAGCACTCACTCACGCTGGCATTCCCTCCCTCCCCCCCTCTCTTCCTTCATTCCTCACGCACTCACTCACCCTTCCTTGATCAGGTGCTCGGCGCACGCAATCATATCCCACACCGTGTTGCGCTTTCTCAAAAGCTTCCCATCCAGGTACCACTGGTAGTCCCAGTCGCCTCCTCCCCTCACATGCGCTATCGCCACTGCCACGCCTCGGTCGAGCAGTGAGAGGCGGTCAGAGGAGAAAGAGAGGCGCGTGGGCACCTGTGGGGAGAACAGGAAGGGAAGAGCGGTTGAGATCCTTGGTTAGGCAATGCTTAACCCTCTTCCCTCCCTTCTCCTCACATCCGCTATCGCCACTGCCACGCCTCGGTCGAGCAGTGAGAGGCGGTCAGAGGAGAAAGAGCGAGGGAATCTGGGGAGAGGCGGGAGGATGGGGGATGGAGAAAGAAAGGTTGTCCATGTGTGTGTGTGTGCGCGCGCCTGTGCATAGCATGCAAGCAGCAGCGGCGGCAACAGCAGCAGCGGCGGCAGCAGCAGCAGCAGGAAGGGAAGGAGCGTCACTGCAAGTGCTGTAGCAATGACTGGGCACTTGAGTGCCGTCTGCTGCTGCTGTTACTATTGCTGTGCACTGACTCTCCCTCACCTCATATGCGCCATAGGCGTAGAGCAGCACGGGCCAAGGTGGGCTGGTGCTGGGAGCAGCAGCAGAGTCGCAGGGAGAGCGCTGGGAGTGCTGTTGCAATGAACAAGTGAGATGGGCACTTGAGTGCCGTCTGCTGCTGCTGCTACTGCTACTACTATTGCTGTGCACTGACTCTCCTACTCACCTCATACGCGCCATAGGCGTAGAGCAGCATGGGCCAAGGAGGGTCATTGGGAGCACTGCAAGTGCTGTTGCGATGGACGAGTGATATGGGCACTTGAGTGCCGTCTGCTGCTGCTGTTGCTGCCACTGCTGTACACTGATTCTCACTCACCTCATAAGCACCATAGGCGTAGAGCAGCATGGGCCAAGGCGGGCCACTGGCAGTGCTGGCAGTGCTGGCAGTACCAGAAGTGCTGTTGCGATGCACGAGCGAGATGGGCACTTGAGTGCCATCTGCAACTGCGACCCCTCTCACTCACCTCGTATGCGCCGTACGCATAGAGCAGCATGGGCCAGGGAGGACCACTGCTGGCAGCAGCATCAGGAGAGTCAGTAGGAGCACTTGCAGCACTGGAAGGGCTGTTGCGATGCACGAGCGAGATGGGCACTTGAGTTCCGTCTTTTGCCGTGGCGAAGAGACGGCGAGAGGAGTAGAGCGAGGGGTTGAAAGATTCGCCGACCTGCATGGGAGAGATGGGGAGAGGTTGAGAGGGATGGGGAGAGATGGGGAGAGGGAGTGAACATGGTTGCTTGCGTTGGTACTTGAGTGGCAAAGAGATGGCGAGAGGAGTAGAGCGATGGGTCGAAGGATGGACCGATCTGCAAGAGAGAGATGAGAAATGGGGAGATAGGTAGAATATGGGAGGCAAGGAGAGGAGATGAAGGAGATGAAAGAGACGACGAGAGGAGTAGAGCGAGGGGTCGAAGGATGGACCGACCTGTAGGGGATAGTTGGGGAGATGTTGAGAGGGATGGGGAGATATGGGGAGGGATGAGGAGAGGGAGTGAAGATGGTTGAATTCGTAAAGGAGTTCCTAGCTGTCATGCGTGCGTGCATGCGGTACAATGTCCATATCTCGTTTGAACACGGTGGTGTTTTTTTGAGAATTCTCAAAGAAACCTGTCATGCGTGCGTGCATGCGGTACAATGTCCATATCTCGTTTGAACGCAGTGGTGGGGTGGGGGTGATGAGGGAGGAGAAGGATTCAAGACAGCTGCCCTGCTCTCCACACATGCACCGCATGCACGCACGCATGTCCCATCTCTCTAACAGCCCACTCACCCAGTCGACCTTCCTCGCAGCCTGTCTGTCTGTGTCCATGTCTCGTTCAAACACGGTGGTGGGGATAACCAGAGAGGAGAAGGAGTAGCGGAGGAGGGACGACTCGAACCTGCACACCCACCACACACACAACGCACACCCTGAGCTAGGCGGCAAACCCAGAATACTAACCACACCCTAAACACACTCACCCAGTCGACCTTCCTCGCAGCCTGTCTGTCTGTGTCCATGTCTCGTTCAAACACGGTGGTGGGGGGGTGACGAGGGAGGAGAAGGAGAAGCGGAGGAGAGGCGATTCAAAGCGGCTCCTGAGGGCCCGGATCTCGTATGCTGCTTCGTCAAATTCCACCCTGGTATGGTTAGAGTACAGAGATGGGTGCAGAGGAGTGGGTTTTGAGAATTCTGGAAAGTCACACCAGCATGGTTAGAGTACGGGAGATGGGTGCAGAGAAGAGGGTGGAAGGAGTATGAGGGTAACTCACTAACTCACTCACATGTAGTGACAGGTAGGCCATGGAGCGAAAGGGAATGGGTAAGGTGCAAGGCGAACAAACATATACGCACGCGGGTGAAAGGAGATGTATGAGCAGCACATTTCTTAGTCGACTTAGAAGCAGATGTATACACACGCAGAATATTTCCAGTTCGGTTTGATTTGAAGCTTACAGTTTGGCAGCTTCAGGCGCAGGAGAGCCGTTGGATCGCAAGGGGATGCATCTGATCCGTTGGAGTCCCTTCACCCTCTCAAACACGACCACGTGGCGCTTGAAGGCCGTCACTGACTGGAGCTTCACACTGGGGGATGAAACATATAGCAAATAGAAGGTAGAAGAAGACAGGGTTCAGAATTTAAGGTTTCAGGTTTTGGGCTTGAGATGCTTGAAAACTCGCTTGAAGGCCGTCACTGATTGGAGCTTCACACTGGGGGTTTGAAAAGCAGACAGTACAAGGTACAAGGAGACAAGGGGTTCTGGGTTTATGAGTTGAAGGTTCAAAAGTTGTGAACTTGGGGTGAGGGAAAAACGACCACGTGGCGCTTGAAGGCCGTTACTGATTGGAGCTTCACACTAGTGGGTAAAAAAAAAGAGTCAAAGGGAGAAGGGAGGAGAAGGAGGTGTAGGGTTTAAGTTTTAAGTTCAAAGCTGTAAGTTTGGGGTGAGTTAAATAAGATTTTGAGTTGACTCAAAAGTTGTCTCGGAGGTCTGGGGTTTAGGTTCAAAGATGTGAGTTTGGGGTGGGGGAAAAACAACCACGTGGCGCTTGAAGGCCGTCACTGATTGGAGCTTCACACTAGTGGGTCAAAACCATGCAGAAGAAGGTATAAGGCGATGGGAGTTTAGGGTTTAACTCTGGTTTTTAAGGCTCAAAGTGAAAAACAACCACGCGGTGCTTGAAGGCCGTCACTGATTGGATTGGAACTTCACATTAGGGGGTTGGACAGCATACAGTGCAAGGTACAAGGAGACAGGGGGGTTCTGGGTTTATAGGTTGAAGGTTCAAAGCTGTGGGTTTGGGGTGAGGGGAATAAACGACCACGTGGCGCTTGAAGGCCGTCACTGATTGGAGCTTCACACCAGGGAGTTGAGGCTGAAGGTTTAGAGCGAGGAAACAGAAATACGGAGCGGCGTTAGCTCCTGAATGTGGTTTGCCTCACTTGGGATCGTGTGGCAGCACCACCAGGCTCTACAGCCCCAGCGGCATCAGGCAGAGCATCAGGTCAGCAGCAGGTGGGGAGAGCAGCAGCAGCAGCAGCAGCAGCAGCATCAGACAGAGCATCAGGTCAGCAGCAGGTGGGGAGAGCAGCAATGCGAGGAGCTCTGAGTTGCGCTGTGGTCCGTCTGGCTCACCTGGGGTCATGCGGCAGCACCACCGAGGGCTCTACAGCCTCAGCTGCAACAGCAGCAGCCTCAGCTGCAGCAGTAGCAGCGGCGGCATCAGCATCATCAGCAACAGGCAGCGAGAGGAGCTCTGAGTTGCGCATCTGGTCAGAGCGGCTCGTCTCACCTGGGGTCATGCGGCAGCACCACCGAGGGCTCTACAGCCTCAGCTGCAACAGTAGCAGCGGTATCAGCAACAGGCACAGGCAGCGAGAGGAGCTCTGAGTTGCGCATCTGGTCAGAGCGGCTCGTCTCACCTGGGGTCATGCGGCAGCACCACCGAGGGCTCTACAGCCTCAGCTGCAACAGTAGCAGCGGTATCAGCAACAGGCACAGGCAGCGAGAGGAGCTCTGAGTTGCGCATCTGGTCAGAGCGGCTCGTCTCACCTGGGGTCATGCGGCAGCACCACCGAGGGCTCTACAGCCTCAGCTGCAACAGTAGCAGCGGTATCAGCAACAGGCACAGGCAGCGAGAGGAGCTCTGAGTTGCGCATCTGGTCAGAGCGGCTCGTCTCACCTGGGGTCATGCGGCAGCACCACCGAGGGCTCTACAGCCTCAGCTGCAACAGTAGCAGCGGTATCAGCAACAGGCACAGGCAGCGAGAGGAGCTCTGAGTTGCGCATCTGGTCAGAGCGGCGGAGGAGGAAGAAGTGCGAGCCGCTGTGGTCTGTCTGGCTTACCTGGGATCATGTGGGAGCACCACCGAGGGCTCTACAGCCTCAGATGCAGCAATGGTAGCAGCATCAGCAGCAGTGGCGGTGGCATCAGCATCAACAGCAGCAGTAGAGGCATCAGCAACAGGCAGGGCGAGGAGCTCTGAGTTGCGCATCTGGTCGGAGCGGCAGAGGAGGAAGAAGTGCGAGCCGCTGTGGTCTCCATACACCTCCACGTTCTGACGGGGGAAGGGGGGAGAGGAGAGGCTGGAAGAGGGGTGCAAGGGAGGAAGTAGTGCGAGCCGCTGTGGTCTCCATACACCTCCACGTTCTGAAGGAGAGGGGAGGAAGGGAGCAGGCGGTGGGGAGAGGGTGGAGAGACAAGGAATAAGGGGCAATAAGGCTTTCGGAAGAGCGGCGGAGGAGGAAGAAGTGCGAGCCGCTGTAATCCCCATATACCTCCACGTTCTGAAAGGTGGGGAGGGGGAAGGGAAAGGGGGGAAGGGGGGTTGAAGGCTGAGAGGGGGAGGAGGAAGAAGTGTGAGCCGCTGTGGTCTCCATACACCTCCACGTTCCGAAGGAGAGGGGAGAATGGGAGGTGGGCAGGTGAGGGAGGAGGAGACAAGGGTGATAGAGAAGTGCGAGCCGCTGTGGTCCCCATAACCTCCACGTTCTAACAAGTGGGAGCAGGAGAGGGGGAGAAACTTTGTGAAAATTAGAAGTGGGGTATACTGGGTGCTCCGAATTCCCCACAGACACACTTGTAGCCTATGCAGGCGGCTAGCACTGCGCTTGTACTCACATGCACTCTCAGCACGAGTTGCCTGGGAGGGTCGAACGGTCTCTGAGCGACGATCGCCAGCAAAAAGGATGTCACAGCAGACCCACACATCACCTAAGCAGCAGCAGTAAACTAAGCAGGCGGCTGGCACTGCTGTCATACTCACATGCACTCTTGGCATGAGTTGCCTCGGAGGATCAAACGGTCTCTGAACATCAATCGCCAGCAGAAACGACGTCACAGCCGACCCGCACACACACACCACCCTATGCAGCAGCAGCAGCCTATGCAGGCTGCTGGCACTGCTGTAATACTCACATGCACTCTCGGCTCGAGTTGCCTCGGAGGATCAAACGGTCTCTTAACATCAATCGCCAGCAGAAACGACGTCACAGCCGACTGGCCCACCACCCCATGCAGCAGCAGTGGCCAACAGCATACGCAGCATGCACTGCGCTAGCACTCACGTGCACTCTCGGGACCAGTTGCCTTGGAGGGTCAAACGGTCTTTGAACATCGATTGCCAGCAGAAACGAAGTAACAGCCGACCCGCACGACTAGAATGAACTGGTCTTATTCAACTGCTGCTTCAATACTCACATGCACTCTTGGAACCAACTGCCTGGGAGGGTCAAAAGGCCTTTGAACGTCGATCGCCAACAGAAACGACGTCACAGCCGACCACCAGACCACCCTATGCAGCCGCAGCAGTAGCCAACAGCATATGGAGCATGCATGCACTGCGCTTGTACTGACATGCACTCTCGGCACGAGTTGCCTTGGCGGGTCGAAAGGTCTTCGAACGTCGATCGCCAGCAGAAAGGACGTCACAGCCGACTGACCCACACACGCACAACAGCACATGCAGCATGCACAGCACTAGTACTGACATGCACTCTCGGCACGAGTTGCCTTGGAGGGCCAAACGGCCTTTGAACGTCTATTGCCAGCAGAAACGATGTCACAGCCGACCCACACGTGCACGCAGCATGCACTCTACTGTACATGCCACTCACATGCACTCTTGGAACGAGCTGCTTGGGAGGGTCGAACGGTCTCTTAACGTCTATCGCCAGCAGAAATGAAGTAACAGCCGACCCGCACTACATGCAGCATGCACTCTACTGTACATGCCACTCACATGCACTCTTGGAACGAGCTGCTTGGGAGGGTCGAACGGTCTTTGAACGTCTATCGCCAGCAGAAATGAAGTAACAGCCGACGCACACGTGACTATAATGAATCGGTCTGACGACGCGCGGTGAACCCCCACGTCGAACGCCTCGTCCTTTTCGAAAAAGACGCACGCGTCCTGCGACACCGGCGTGCCGATGACGTGGCGCATGACGAAGCACGGGCGATCTTTTTCGTCCTGTGCGACGTAGAAGAGCGTTTGATTATCATCTGCCCAGCACACCTCCCCACTTGTACCAAACTCTGCTGTGATCACGTCTGTATCTGTTGGTGTTGCTGATACTGTTGCTTCTGATGGTTCTTCTGCTGCTGACCTTCCTGCTTCTGGTACTGCTGCAACCGGTATCGTCCGGCCTTCAGGAGATCTTGCTGCTGCTGTTTCTCCAGACCCTTGCTCTGCTCCTTCAGACACTCCTCCTGCTTCTACTCCCGCTGTTGATTCAGCTGGCACTGCGGATACTGCTCCTGACGCGCCACTCATATCGGAAGAAAGTACTGCTGAAGCCGTAGCAGGGGCAGAACAGCCAGAGCCGATAGGCCGAACATGAATGGCATATCTCTCGTCCCCCCTCGTGTCGAGACTATAGGCCACCAACCCATGGTTCGGGCTCACGGCAACACTGTCAATGTGGAAAAAGCTCCGCCCCTCCGCCTCTCGGTTCTCGTCTAAAACGACCTCCTCTGGAACCCCTTCATCCATGCTCTCGGAAAAGTAATCCCTGGGTTCGCAGGATTGCTCTGCTGCTGCTGCAGAGTCTGCAGCTGCTCTCCTGCAGTGGATGGGATACTGTTTACCCTCCTCCTCTCGGGTGTAATACCAGAAATCACCCTTCCTTAGAGGGACGCTCCTGTCTTCCTGCTTTACACGCGCTTTCATCTCCCCTTCTAGTAACACTCGCAGGGACACACCCTCTCGCTCTCCCCCTTCCCCCCTTCCTCCTTTCTCCCCTTCACACCCCATGTCTCCATCTCCATCACATGGAGGCAGCAACGCATCAGAGTACGCGTTTTCTGCCGCCAAATGCGCCAGGACGTCCGGATTCTCGCGCCTCTCGTCCCGCAGCCAGTGGTGGGGGTCGTCCCGCACGTCCCCAAACATTGGGGGGAAGGAGAATGGCACCTTGGCGCACCTGATGGGCGATAGGGGAGGGGGATGGGAAAGAACGGGGGATAAGGGCGCCTTTTGTCCAGCAGCCAGTGGTGGGGGTTGTCCCACACGTCCCCAAACATCGGAGGGAAGGAGAATGGCACCTTGGCGCAGCTGGTGGGGGGAAGGAATAGGGGAGCCGGGATGGGGGAGAAGGAGGGTTGCTACAGAGCCAGTGGTGAGGGTCCACCCGCACGTCCCCATACATCGGAGGGAAGGAGAATGGCACCTTGGCGCACCTGATGGGGGAAGGAACAGGGGAGGCGGGATGGGGGAGAAGGAGGGTTGTCACAGGGCCAGTGGTGGGGGTCGTCCCGCACGTCCCCATACATCGGAGGGAAGGAGAATGGCACCTTGGCGCACCTGGTGGGGGGAAGGGGAGGGGAGGGGGGAGGGGACGGCAGGGGGGTTACAGCGGCAGTGGTGGGGGTCGTCCCGCACGTCCCCAAACATTGGGGGGAAGGGGAAGGGAATTTTGGCGCAACTGATGGGCGGAGGGGCAGGGGCGCGGGAGGGGGGGAGGGGGAAATGGAGGGAGAGGGGGTGCGGGGGCGGAGGGGGGAGGGGAGAGAGATATGAGGGGCGGAGAGAAAGGGGACGGGGGTGAAGTAAAACAAGAGCAACTGGAAAGAGGGCGAACGAGGACGGGAAAATGGGAGAGAGGAGGAGAGGGGGGGGGGAGGATGGGAAGGATGGGAGAGGGGGAGGATGGGAAGGCAACTTACACGGGAGCCTTGATTTCTTTTGCACGCTTCCAAAACCCGCTAGAACCCCCATCATTCGCCATAGCGGCCTCCCCTTGACCGCCCGTGCCGGTCAGCTCAGAAACTTTTCTAGACTGCCCAGCGGGGGCTGGCTCGAGGGCGAAGGAGTCAGATATTTCCGGAGGATCTTGGTCTGAGCTGGCACTGACGCTTGCTGACGCAGCAATGGGGGAAACGGTGACTGTAGTAGAGACAGGGCGCAGCAAACCTGTCCACGACAATGGGGAGGGGCGGGGGTTGGGGAGGGGGTGGGTGGGAAGGGGAGGAGGAAGGGGGGGGAAAGAGGGCTTGATTCGAAGCGTCTCTTGAATGTCTACCACGGCTGGTGCTTGCTTGCGACTTTGAGTCGACTCAAAAGTCAACTTGAAGCGTCTCTCAAAAGTCTACCACTGCTGGCGCTTGCTTGCTGACAGGGAAAGGGTGGGAGGGGGATTGCTGAAGGTGGAGGCACCGCACAGCAGATCTGGTCACGCTGACAATGGGGGAGGGGCGGCGGGAGGGAGAAAGAGGGCCTTTGAGACGCCTCAGATGTCTATCACGGCTGGTGCTTGCTGGCTGGCCCTTGCGGGCTGACAGGGCAAGAGGGGGAGGGGGACTGCTGAAGGTGGAGGGACGGCATAGCAGCTCTGGTCATGCTGACAATGGGAAGGCGGAGGGAGGGAGGTAAGGGGGGAGGGAAAGGGGGAAGGAAGAGGGCTTTGAGGCGCCTCAAATGTCTACCACGGCTGGTGCTTGCTTGCTGACAGGGCAAGGAGGGGACTACTGAATGTGGAGAGACGACACAGAGGATCTGAGCATGCTGACAATGGGAAGGCGGAGGGAGGGAGGGAAGGGGGGAGGGGAAGGGGGAGAAGGGATAGGGCTTTGAGGCGCCTCAGATGTCTACCACGGCTGGTGCTTGCTTGCTGACAGGGCAAGGAGGGGACTACTGAATGTGGAGAGACGACACAGAGGATCTGAGCATGCTGACAATGGGAAGGCGGAGGGAGGGAGGGAAGGGGGGAGGGGAAGGGGGAGAAGGGATAGGGCTTTGAGGCGCCTCAGATGTCTACCACGGCTGGTGCTTGCTTGCTGACAGGGCAAGGAGGGGACTACTGAATGTGGAGAGACGACACAGAGGATCTGAGCATGCTGACAATGGGAAGGCGGAGGGAGGGAGGGAAGGGGGGAGGGGAGGGGAAGGGGGAGAAGGGATAGGGCTTTGAGGCGCCTCAGATGTCTACCACGGCTGGTGCTTGCTTGCTGACAGGGCAAGGAGGGGACTACTGAATGTGGAGAGACGACACAGAGGATCTGAGCATGCTGACAATGGGAAGGCGGAGGGAGGGAGGGAAGGGGGGAGGGGAAGGGGGAGAAGGGATAGGGCTTTGAGGCGCCTCAGATGTCTACCACGGCTGGTGCTTGCTTGCTGACAGGGCAAGGAGGGGACTACTGAATGTGGAGAGACGACACAGAGGATCTGAGCATGCTGACAATGGGAAGGCGGAGGGAGGGAGGGAAGGGGGGAGGGGAAGGGGGAGAAGGGATAGGGCTTTGAGGCGCCTCAGATGTCTACCACGGCTGGTGCTTGCTTGCTGACAGGGCAAGGAGGGGACTACTGAATGTGGAGAGACGACACAGAGGATCTGAGCATGCTGACAATGGGAAGGCGGAGGGAGGGAGGGAAGGGGGGAGGGGAAGGGGGAGAAGGGATAGGGCTTTGAGGCGCCTCAGATGTCTACCACGGCTGGTGCTTGCTTGCTGACAGGGCAAGGAGGGGACTACTGAATGTGGAGAGACGACACAGAGGATCTGAGCATGCTGACAATGGGAAGGCGGAGGGAGGGAGGGAAGGGGGGGGGAGGGGAAGGGGGAGAAGGGATAGGGCTTTGAGGCGCCTCAGATGTCTACCACGGCTGGTGCTTGCTTGCTGACAGGGCAAGGAGGGGACTACTGAATGTGGAGAGACGACACAGAGGATCTGAGCATGCTGACAATGGGAAGGCGGAGGGAGGGAGGGAAGGGGGGAGGGGAAGGGGGAGAAGGGATAGGGCTTTGAGGCGCCTCAGATGTCTACCACGGCTGGTGCTTGCTTGCTGACAGGGCAAGGAGGGGACTACTGAATGTGGAGAGACGACACAGAGGATCTGAGCATGCTGACAATGGGAAGGCGGAGGGAGGGAGGGAAGGGGGGAGGGGAAGGGGGAGAAGGGATAGGGCTTTGAGGCGCCTCAGATGTCTACCACGGCTGGTGCTTGCTTGCTGACAGGGCAAGGAGGGGACTACTGAATGTGGAGAGACGACACAGAGGATCTGAGCATGCTGACAATGGGAAGGCGGAAGGAGGGAGGGAAAGGGGGGAGGGGAGAGGGGTTTTGAGGCGTCTCAAGTGTCTATCATCGGGGGGGAGGGGGGGGGTGGGAGAGGGGAGGGGAGTTGGCCCCTCTTCCTTCCTTTCCAGGAGGGAAGCGCGATAAAAGCGGGGAGGGGAGGGGTGCTGGGGGCTTGGGATGATGAGAGGTGGAGGCGAGTTGGAGGGGGGCTTAAGTGTGGGGAGAGAGCCTTTGAGGGGAGGGAACGATGGGGGACAGAGAACCGAGTTAGTAGCTCCTCTTTCTTCCTCCTCGTTGAGAAAGGAGGGGACGGGGAGAAAGCGAAAGGAATAATGTTTTAGTTAAAAATTATTGTATATGAAAACAAACATTTTTAGAATTGATAATGTTGTAAATTAGGCTAAATCATGGTGTTACTAACAAGGAAGAATGTTTATATTTCTCAACTGATTCGTGTCTTTCGTTGTTCCTCGTTGTTCTGCAGCAGAACCACGTCCCCGGCGCGCCATTGGGTACGAAATATAGTTATAATGTGGTCCTGTTATTAAATTGCAGTCAACGGGAGTTATAAAGCATATCCTTACCGCCAGAGATGAACGACGGGGTGTTTGTTATTCAAGAAGAATGTTAGTTGTGTTGATCGCTGATTTTTTTTTTAACGACCTGGGATGCGATGGGATCTGAACGCAATAGGTAGCCTGAACACCCTTCCGAATTGAATCGTCGTCGCCGTAATTGACTTTGAACAGCAACGGGAAACGTTGAAGTCCCCTTTGTTGAACAAGCGAGTAACGAAATTTGGGGATAAAGTAGAGTTCACAGGCACAAGCATGGTACATTACTCCTCCTGAATGTTCAGCCTTGCTCGGTAAGGTCGGATGTGACGGGAAACGCCAGCAGGGCAAGGAATCCCTGCTTTGAGGGATGTTCAACGCGTCTAGGGTTGAACGGCTAGCCGAGAAAATGGGGAGGAAACGGGGAAGAAAATGCTATGGTGGCAACGTAGGAGATTTCTCTCTTCACTAGTCAGCACGCGCGGTTAGCTTTACTGAGAGTTTATGGTTACGGTAATACCTCGGTCGGGACACATGAACACTCAAGTCGAGTTTGACCTAAATTCCTGGTACTGGCGTTTAACTCAATACGGGAAGAGTTTGAGGCCACATGTTTAACAGATTCTCATTTCTTAATTAAAAGTTCGTTCGTTACGAATGGCGGAGGTTGCATTGAATTCATCGAGGAACAGCTGCCTCTTGTTCAAAGTGACGTGCGCAACAGAATTTAGTGGACCAATCGCGGCGAGTCGTGCGGTCGTCCTCATCTTGAAGGAGCGGCGGTGGAAAAATGATTCCATGGGCCTTACTGATTCCTTGCACGCGTGACGGTGACGTGACAGCATTTTCTTGTGGCCGTTTCTCGGTCCCCACAGAACGCGCACGCAATGCCATGCAACTCGTCTCCACAGGTCGGTCGGCGGTCCGTACAGTGCGGGTGCCAACACAAGTGGCTGCGGGGAGGACGAGTCGGTTTTGCCGTGGGGAAAAGAAAAGGAAATCGAGTCCTTTCGAATGAAAACAGAATAGGGTCTTTCCTTTCCTGGGATCATGAGAAACAGTGCACGTACACTTAACTGTACACGTGGTTCCGCGGGGCGAGTGTGAAAGACTAGTAATGGTAAACATATTTGTTTAAAGTGTTTGTTACGATATTTCATAATGACTTGCAATTCTGCAGCGCAAAAATGTTTCAACAAATACACCTGAAATTGAGTTAATACAAATATGACGAATACCGTAGATTTATTGCACAGCCTCACCACAAAGTGGGCGGTACGTCATGAAGCAAAAGACGCGGAGTTGAGGTGGAGGACGCGTCCTCTCCAACAGACACCATCCAGCCACAGTTACTTCGTCTGTTGCGACGCAGGATCCCCGAAGAACGCGGGCAGATGCGACGCAGCCTCACGAAGCTTGACAGCTGGACATTCGCTATCCAACTTGTCCTCTTCCTTGGTCTCCTGCAACCGCCTGGCGCCACTTACGAGTCAAACCTGCAAATTCCCCTGCTACACACGATGCCCGTTTGACTAACCCAAGGTTGCCTTGTGAAGGGGGCTCTTAAGTGATTCTTGCATTTCGTGGAGGTTTCGTCAATTCGCTTCGGGCAAAAAGGGCTTATAACAAAATTTTGTAACTCACCGTTGACTGTTTGACTTCGGTCTCTTCAGTTTCTGTGGTTCGTATTGGTCGACGTGCTTGTAACGTGGGTGCAACTGCCCGGGAAAAAACCCACGCGTGCAAGGTTTATGGAATGGGCAAGACAATTTCGCGTGCAGGGGTTGGGCATCATGTGTACAGTTCTGTGCAGTTGGACATGTCAAACAGAGCCGACACAAAGACAGCACTGTACAGTGACACGCCAGACAGCGCATATTGAGTGCTCACATCCAGGCGCTTTCGCATAGCCTGGAAACCAATAACGATGACTTCGGACCTGTTCTACAGGCCATTGTTTCCGTTGTCTGAATCCTCTTGGTTGCTTCTGTCGACAGTCAATTTAGGTTCGATAGCATGGTCAGCCCGAAAATGAGTGTCATACCTGCTTGTTTCCATCCGAACATAACGGAAACAGTGGCTGCAGAACAACCTGGGTTGTGGAAACGGAAACGTCGAGACGGAAGGTGTGTACCAAACTTCTCTCC